CACTTAACATCTCCCAAAATCTCTCTCTCTCCTCTGCATTCCTCTCTTCTACAGGTGCATACACGCTTATTATGACCCACTTCTCGCATCCAACCTTTACTTTAATCCACATAATTCTTGAATTTACACATTCATATTCTCTTTTCTCCTTCCATAACCGATCATTCAACATTACTACTACCCCTTCCTTTGCTCTAACTCTCTCAGATACTCCAGATTTAATCCCATTTATTTCCCCCCACCGAAACTCCCCTACCCCCTTCAGCTTTGTTTCGCTTAGGGCCAGGACATCCAACTTCTTTTCATTCATAACATCAATAATCATCTGTTTCTTGTCATCTGCACTACATCCATGCACATTTAAGCATCCCAGTTTTATAAAGTTTTTCTTCTTCTCTTTTTTAGTAAATGTCTACAGGAGAAGGGGTTACTAGCCCATTGCTCCCGGCATTTTAGTCGCCTCATACGACACGCAAGAAGTTTTGGTCATAATTTGAAATGGGGAATGCCGTAAGCCTAAACTCCATAATGTGGGGCCCTACTGTGGATTTTACAGATGCTATATAATAATGTATATGCCCCTGTAATACTGTAGATAAATAATGATCAACAGTTACAATGGAATGAACATATGATAAAGAACAGTATATACAGGAATAAAAAAAAATAGATTTTAATCCTTTTATTTCATTTACCTATCTATTACCGGTAAAGTCACATACAGTTGAAAATATACATCACAGTATAATTTTACCTTAGTGCCTATTTTCAGAAAAATAGAGGATTAAAAAAAAATTAATGCTAATCTACTAGCATATCCCAGATTTACGACTTAAAGCATTCCTAAAATTAGGAGGGAAGTTGAAAAAACACAAGTCTACTTAATTATAACATGGAACTGAAGCTTGAGGTTCAGATATATTTTTCAATATGTAAACCCCTATTATGTTATATTCTATTATTTTTACTATGAAATCAATGTAGAATCATCAAATAACATATTACTAGTCATTTAAACTATGAAAAATATTAAAATTAAGTTATTTAATATTCTAATATATATTATTATCAGTTACAATTCCAGTTGCCAGAGCATTATAATATGGATCACTGAAAGTTAGTCTAAGTCATCAGGGTATTACAATAAAGATTATTAAGTTATGAGTCCAGCTAGGAGAGCATTAACAAACTTTATAAATGGTAAAGTCAAAATTGTATCAAAAATAAAAACACTACATGTTGTACAGACCATTTACCCTCAGTTTCTTCACCACTTACTTAATGACCTGGCTTTTTGGATGTTGGTTGGCAGCAAAATTACTACAGGAATGTGGTACATTAGGTAGCTTAATGATGGTAAGAATCAGTGTACTGGTTCATTAACAAATTTCAGAGCAAGTTTAAATCTGAGTCCCAAGTCTGAAAATTTAAAGCTGAGGTTGAAACATGAGTGTTAAATTTATGTTACTGTAAGTTGGGAAGTTTTAGGGACTTTACAGTACATTTATACTATAAAAACTAGAAACATTTAAAAGGCAAAATGTGCAACATAATGTATGTAAATCTTTTATCTGAAAAGATAAATATTAGAATGCATGTTGAATAGTGTTGAATGGCCCATATTTTCTGTGATTGCTGAATGACCTGCATTTTCTGTGATTGTTGAATGACCCACACTTTCTGTGACTGCTGAATGACCCACATTTTGTGTGACTGCTGAATGACCCACACTTTCTGTGATTGCTGAATGACCCATATTTTATGTGATTGCTGAATGACCCATATTTTCTGTGATTGCTGAATGACCCATATTTTCTGTGACTGCTGAATGACCCATATTTTCTGTGACTGCTGAATGACCCATATTTTCTGTGATTGCTGAGTGACCCATATTTTCTGTGATTGCTGAATGACCCATATTTTCTGTGACTGCTGAATGACCCATATTTTCTGTGACTGCTGAATGACCCACACTTTCTGTGATTGCTGAATGACCCATATTTTCTGTGATTGCTGAATGACCCATATTTTCTGTGATTGCTGAGTGACCCATATTTTCTGTGATTGCTGAATGACCCATATTTCTGTGACTGCTGAATGACCCATATTTTCTGTGACTGCTGAATGACCCACACTTTCTGTGATTGCTGAATGACCCATATTTTCTGTGATTGCTGAATGACCCATATTTTCTGTGACTGCTGAATGACCCATATTTTCTGTGATTGCTGAGTGACCCATATTTTCTGTGACTGCTGAATGACCCACACTTTCTGTGACTGCTGAATGACCCACATTTTCTGTGACTGCTGAATGACCCACACTTTCTGTGACTGCTGAATGACCCATATTTTCTGTGACTGCTGAATGACCCACACTTTGCTATCATAATTATGGGATCCACATGGCATACTGCCAACAATAGTAAAGATATGTTGCAGAACAAGACTACTGGGACAATGTTTTGTTGTGAGGTCATAACATGATCAAGCTCTAACAGAGCAAAATATTGTTCTAATAAATATCTGTTCTGCATCATGTGTCTTTTCTTCAACACCATAATTAAATAGTAACTGAATTACCAAGAGTGCTGATGACCCACACTGTGTGGCCATAATTATAATTAATTACTCAGTGTTGAATGAGGCTGCCTTTGTGATCATAGTTATAACTACATTACCCATTGCATATTACTGTTGACCTTAGTTACTAAGTGACTCTAGTACCAAAATAAAAAAATAAAAACAATGAAGATGCTCATGGAGAAAGAGCATGCCAAATATGGAGACATTCAATTAATTACTTCTACAATAACAAACTGAAAGTTGTATGACAAACTAGTACAGTCCTTGTCATTAAGTACATTAGGTGGAAGGCACATTTAAGCATCCCAGTTTTATAAAGTTTTTCTTCTTCTCTTTTTTAGTAAATGTCTACAGGAGAAGGGGTTACTAGCCCATTGCTCCCGGCATTTTAGTCGCCTCGTACGACACGCATGGCTTACGGAGGAAAGATTCTTTTCCACTTCCCCATGGACAATAGAAGAAATAAAGAGGAACAAGAGCTATTTAGAAAAAGGAGAAAAACCTAGATGTATGTATATATATATGCATGTGCGTGTCTGTGAAGTGTGACCAAAGTGTAAGTAGGAGTAGCAATTATTATTATCAAGGGGGAAGCGCTAAACCCGGAGGATTATACAGCGCCTGGGGGGGGGGATGTGGAAGGCATTGAGGCTTAATTCGGGGAACTGGAGCACAGATCCAATTCCCTAAATCAAGACCCCCTCACCAACATCAAGGAACCTTCCTTGAGGGGGTAGGAGTAGCAAGATATCCCTGTTATCTAGCATGTTTATGAGACAGAAAAAGAAACCAGCAATCCTACCATCATGCAAAACAGTTACAGGTTTCTGTTTCACAGTCATCTGGCAGGACGGTAGTACTTCCCTGGGTGGTTGCTGTTTACCAATGTAAACAAAATAGTTGTTGTTGCTGTTACCAGCCTGGACACGAATGGTTTTTGTTCACTCTGTCAAGCCAACCAGAAAAAATCTCATATTTGTTAATTTATATGTGTATATGTTACGTAGCATGTTTATTATATAATTTTGAAAAAAAAATCATAGATGGATTAAGCAAAATGTCTATATTAACATTTTATACACATTTAATGTGCCTCATTGATTATTATTGTGTTATTATCATTATTAATATGGCATCTTCAAGACCAATTACACTCTTAATGAGTGGCTCTGAGACAGACAAGCAGACAGAAAGACAGACACAGGTAGACAGAAAGAGACACACAGGTGGACAGAAAGACAGACACAGGTAGACAGAAAGACAGACACACAGGTAGACAGAAAGACACACAGGTAGACAGAAAGACAGACACACAGGTAGACAGAAAGACAAACACACAGAGATACAGACAGACACAGATATACAGGCAGACAGATACAGACAGGTTTATGTGCAACACTGAAAACAAATAGAGAGTTCGAGAGTAAGAGCCCTTCTTGCCACAATCTCCAGTGCAAGATTCAGACTTCATCTTAGGGGCCATGCTGAAATTTACTGTCCAGTTAGTACAGTTAATACAGTATGATGCTGCTGATAGGGCAGAGCTACTCAAACTGATGCTGCCTGCATGACGCATTGCCGCCGCGAGTATTGTCAAATATTGTACAGTGGTGTGCATCAGCCGGCCCAGCCCAGCTGCACGGTCGTAAGTCGAGTGGACGTATGTCGAGCAGGTCGTAAGTTGGATGGTAGGTGTATTCGGAGTGCTGGGCGAGTGAACGTAGATCTACGTTTGGACAGTTTAAGGGTTAAATTCATCACTATGAGCACTAGTTCCAGGCATTTTTTCCTGATCACCTGGGTGTTAGTCGACTGGTATGGGTCGCATCCTGAGGGACAAGATTAAGGACCCCAGTGGAAATAAGTTAGTCCTCGATGACGCACTGACTTTCTTGGGTTATCCTTGGTGGCTAACCCTCTGGGATTAATTGTTTCTTGGTAATTGTTTCTCGTTAAGCCACACCAACAACACACTCCCCACATCTTGGAGTAGTAAGAAGCATTAAAAACAATGGAATAATACAGAATATATCGCATGTATCCATGAAACCGTCTGCCCTGGTTTGTAAACAATGGCACACTAGCTGAAGGCAGGGCAGCTGAGGTGCGCTCAACCTGGACAAACAGGCAGACACGTTCAGGACGAATGTTGTTAGTCAAGTTTTTCATTGTTGGTCAGGCCAAAATTTTTACGCTAAAATACTTCATTAGGTGATTTTTTTGTCAGATGATGCCTTCGTTGGTCGGGGGCCCACTGTATATGCACTTATAAGTGGAAAAAAATGGCATTCTGCTTTCTGGTGGTAACCTGGAACCTAACCTGCCATATAAGTGGGACCCTGCTGTAGTTATTTGTGAGGATATTTTTATAGCATGTAAATTTAACTTTTACTTATGGTATTTTTTATTACTTAGGTATTTAATGACCTGGGAATACCCTATGAAGTTTATGAGCTGGACAAACAGTCTGACGGTTCTGTAGTACAGGATGTCTTGGATAGCATGACTGGAGCAAGAACTGTGAGTTTTATTTGTTTTTTCTATTTTATGCAAACTCATCCTTAAACCCTATACACACACTATAATTTTCCCATGAATAATAAAAAAAACATGATAATAAAAAACAAACTCAATAGAGAGGATAGCATCCACTGACAAGGGTGGTGGTGGATGTATAATTACATACCTATATTTAATTTACCAATACAGTGGACCCCCGGTTAACGATATTTTTTCATTCCAGAAGTATGTTCAGGTGCCAGTACTGACCGAATTTGTTCCCATAAGGAATATTGTGAAGTAGATTAGTCCATTTCAGACCCCCCAAACATACACGTACAAATGCACTTACATAATTGGTCGCATTGGGAGGTGATCGTTAAGCGGGGGTCCACTGTACTGTCAAAAATATTTGAGAAAGTGATTTATAAACAACAGAACACAGGTCCAGTTCCTTAGTTCAAGGAACCTCTCGAGTGGTTATTCTCAGCAAAATTTGCTGATAGACCTGCTTGTTGTCTCATCCACCGCTCATTAAACTTAGTGCTAGATATGGTACTCTGCCATCTGTTTAGCCTATTTACATTGGAGAAGCCTTTCATATGCATATTTTTTTTCCTTATCACACTTTTTAATTTTTTATGCCACTTCCCACCTGCATTAGTATATATTGCACAAAGCACTAAACCAATGTGGGTCATTTATTACTACTTATTTTAATATACAGTATAACAAATTTGGTTGCATATTTTCCATAATCGAAGTATATTTTTACATGTGCTTTTCTTTTCCTTGGCTGTAAGCATGAAAAAGAAACTGGTACCTTAGAACTGTGTGTTTTTCTGACATTGCATTTCTTCTTGGAAAAAATTATTAATGGTCATAATTTTTCCTGATATTCATTTTAGAAGTACAGTATTAATTTAAAACAATGCTGTAATTGACGGTCTTTATTTCAGGTCCCTCGAGTATTTGTTGGTGGAAAGTGTATTGGTGGAGGCTCAGAAACACGACAACTTTCTAAAGATGGAAAATTGTTAGATATGGTAAAACAGTGTCAAGAAGCATCTTAATATGAAACAAAAATGGACGTGCCTTTCTGATTTCAAGGATCTTCATACAAAATGAACAAGAGTTTTATATTAGATTGATGGATAGGTTGAATGGAAGAGTAGCTGTAGCTTAAAATATAGAGTTTTGTATTAAGAAAAGTACTGAAGATGCTTCTGTGGATTTAAGAAGAGATTCAGAGTAATTACATTAAATTATTTTATAGTTGTTCTGTATAGGCTTTTGTATGAAAAACAGTCGACTTGTACTTATTTCTTGTGCTACTTGCCTGGAAGGACCTCAGGGGAGGTGCCACGATATTGAAGGGCTTTTGATGAAAGCAGATTACCTCCCATTTCCAACAGGCTTAGTGCTCTCTCATGAATGTAATGACTCATGAATTTGGCTTTCCTCCAGATCCTTCTGGGTTTAGCATTTAGTTTGGTTATTATTAGAATGGTCCCTTGAGTTAAGATATTACTGTATTTTATGGTGTCGAGGATGTCCTCCCCCTCAATCCCGATTGGTTGAGTTTTGGAAAAAAAGAGAAATGATATTTCGGCTTCAGTGGCGGCTCATGTATAGGCACTGCAGAACTGCAGCACCCCCTATTTTCACTTAATATTATCGATAACATTCAGTACGAGACTTTTTTTTATAATTGTACACTATATAATCCTTAAGATTAATGTCAGCAGCCATCCCCTAGTACATGAAAAAATTACAAAAATCCTTGTATGGAACTGTGCGCTTCACAGTTCCAGAGACTCAGAGTTTGGCTGTTGTGCAAGTGTGTGTTGCGCTTAAAAACCATGTATCATATTCTTGAACGTGATAAAGTGTAGAATTAAATGATTATCATGCTTCCAGCTATTTTATTTAATTCATAGTTTTTTTTTTTTTTTATTTTACAGAAAATTTAAATAATTTAATTAGGGCCTCCTTGCATCCCCAAGAAATAAGTTCTTAAATGAATGGATCGAGCTTGAGCTGTAACAATTTAGGTAAGTAAAAAATATTTTTTGTTTATGATTTTATTAAGCTTATGTAAAAATTTTCTTTTTATATGCTTGTTTCGTTTTACACAACATTAACCCCTTGACTGTCAAAGGGCCCAATTAAGTGTCTCTGGTGTCGAAAAATTTTCGAAAAAAAAAAAATTTTTTTCTTTTGAAATGTTAAGTTATTTTTCTGATTGTTTTGCCCCAAAAAAAATTTTTTCCCCATCAGTATTACCGAGTATGGGGCTAAAAGTTTGCAAAAAAATGAGCGCGTATGGCTACAGCGGCGACTGCCCCCTCCCCTGGAAAAATTTTTTGTTTACTTGTATTGAGGTTTTTGTTCTTTTCATATTTTTTTTTTTCACATAACTTATGGGCCTGTGAGCCCAAAGTAAGGTGAAATGTACTTTCATGTTGTATACAACACATAGCCCCAAAAAACATAATTTCAATTATTTTTTAAAAAACTTGTTTACAAAAACAAACAAAAAAAAAATTGTTATTACTTTTGTTCTATAAATATATACCATATACAGTCACTAAAACATACTCCTAGAAGTTTGAGTTTTGTAAAAATCTGTGAAACAGGTGTCTACACAGTGGTTTTTTACACTCTTACACAAAAACAGGGTGTCATACACGTGGTTTTTTTAACCCTCACACATAAACATGGTGTCATACACAGGGTGTTTACATCCTAAAACATAAACATGGTGTCATACACAGTGGTTTTTTACACTTTTCACATAAAAGGGTGTATACCAGTGGTGTTTTACACCCTACACATAAAACATGGTGTCATCACAGTGGTGTTTTACACTCCTAACATAAAAACTTTGGTGTCATACACGTGGGTTTTTCACTCTCCACATAAAACATGGTGTTACACAGTGGTGTTTTACACTCTCAACATAAAATCAGTGTGTGTGCTTTTTTTTTAAATTTTTTTTTTTTATGTGAAAAGACAAAAAACCTCGTTGAGAGTTTTCTTAAAAGTATTAGCAGGCATTTGTGTTTGTAGTTACCCTAGGAAAATGGGTGTTTCTCTTTCCCCTTCCTATTTCCTTCTTTCCCTTTCCTCCTGGGGCTACCTGGAGGGATTCCACCTCTCTTCTACACCTTCATCTGCCCTTCATTATTTTTTCCTTTTTTATCTAGTCCCCCCTTCTTTCTTGCCTTCCCCTTCTTGCTTTGGTTTCTAAAATTTTAACACTATTTGTCACGTTACTTTCATAAAACCCCTATTATCCCCCTTCAGAAGCTTGTTTGTGTGCGAGTGTTGGCTTTAATTGTTTGAGTCGGGAGTCGGAGCTGTCAAAAAAACATATTGTCTATTAGTCACCCCCCCTAGCCGTAAAAAACAATGGGGGGATGCTGTTCCCCCCCTTCTTTAAATTATCTTTCCCCCTCATTCTATCTCTTTCAATCGTTTCTTTTTCTCTTCTGTCTTCTCTGTCTAAGGTACCATAAATACAACTATACTAGTGTAAATTCCCTGGGAAAAAACCCAAAAAAAACCCAGAAAAAGTGCTATACTCTGCTTGAAGTGGGTAATGTGATGACACGTCTTGGGCTCCTCTGGAAGAGTAGACAGATAAAAGGGGGTTTTGGTACCGAAAAATAGACAGCGACAAATGTTTGTTGTGGTCATTTCTCCTCCTCCCCCTTTTTCTCCTCCTTTTTCCCTTCTCCTGGCTCTTGACAGAGGACAGCTGCCCCCTCCCCCCACCCCCCTTTTTACCTCATCAAAGGTCAGCTTTATGAGTTATCTCCCCTTTTTTCACTGCATGGGGTGAACTGTTTTCATGCCTCAAGGGAACATTTTATTACATTTATTATTATAGGTATTAGGTATTATTTTTTATTTTATTTTTTCTTCTTCTTCTTCTTCTTCTTCTCCTCCTCCTTCCACCTTCCCTCCCCCTCCCCCCTCCTTCCTCCTCCTCCCTCCTTTTTCCCCCCTCCCCCCTTCCTCCTCCTCCCTCCCCCCCCCCCTCCTTCCTCCTCCCTCCTTTTTTCCTCCTCCCTCCTTCTTCCTCCTCCTCCTTTTTCCCCCTCCTTCCCCCTCCTCCCCCCTTTCCCTTTCCTCTTCCTCCTTCTTCCTCTCTCTTTTCCCCCTCCCTTCTTCCTCCTCCTCCCCCCATTGCTTTTGGTCCAAACCTCGAATCATAAAATTGATCTTATTGCACTTATCTGTGTTAGAGCATCATTTGGAAAAGAAAAGAGTCCAGATTTGAGGGAAGCCATATTTCTTCCGTAGACTGTGAAAAGGATGACTGAAATGGTTTCCCAAAATCACCACTGGCCCCCCGATTTTTTTTTTTTTATGGTGCACCTGCCTGGAGACCCATTCTTCCATGGGGGCCTCCAGCTTTCTCCTGATTGATTTGAAGCGCTAGAATTTATGCGTATAGATACGTCAAACACGGTATCTCCTTGCTACTTACGACCCCGCAGTCAAAGGGTTAAAACAATGGCTAAAAAAATTTTTTAAAACGGCACCTCCCCTAATTTTAGCTAAAAACCGCCACTACTGCTCGGCTTCTCAGATGCTGGGTAAATTTTCAAGACTTGTTTTTGGAAAAAAAATAGCTTCTTCGATGCCATAAAATACAATGATCCGTTCCCGAAGTTGTTTAAAAAATGTTTTAACTCAAACCCCAAAATGTGTGGATTTACTGTAAATTTATTCCAAAACCTGGGGGTGCAACTTTTACTATACCTTGGACTTGAAGAGTTGGTGGGGAAAGAGGAGGTCACTGGTTGGAAGAAGCTCCTTCCAATTTCTGCCTCTTGAAAAAAAAACTGTCCAGAGTCGTTGTTTCATACTTGCCTCTGGGGTCTTTTTAAAGTAATATAAAACATTATCTTTAAAAACACAAAAAAAAGAGTTTAGTTTTTAGTGTCTGGGTGCTTTTTATGATTTTTTACCCTTCCAATGGCAAACAATCCTAAATTTTTGCACCTGTTATTTTTGGTCATCTTCCTCCCCATTGTTTTCCTATCCATCTCCCCTTTTAAACCCCTTTTACTGTCGCGGTTGTATTGTCGTCATAGGTATATACCCCTGTTTGGATCTTACGCATAAATTTAGCGGCTTCAAATCAGCGGAGAAAGCTGGTGGCCCCGTGAGAGAATGGGTCTCCATGGTCAGTGTGACCATAAAAAAAAATCGGGGAAAACCAGTGGTGCATTGTGGGAAACCAATTTCGTCGTCCTTTTTTAGCATGTCTAGCGGTAAGAAAAATGTGCTTCCCCGAAATCTGGGGCTCTTCTTTCCCCAAATGATGCTCTAAAAAACGATGGAAGTGTCAATGAAGATCAATTTATGATTTTTGAGGGGTTTGGACCCAAAACAATGGAGGAGGAGGGGAGGAGGAGGAGAGGGGGAGGAAGAAAAGGAGGGGAAAGGAAAAAGAGGAGGAGAAAAAGGGAGGAGGAAGAAAAGGAGGAGGAAAGGAAGGAGGAAAGGGGGGAAGGAGGGAGGAGGAAAGGGGGGAGGAGGGGAAGGAGGAAGGAGGGAGGGGAAAAAAGGAGGGAGGGGGAGGGGGAAGGAGGGGGGAGGTGGGGGGGAGGAGGAGGAAGGAGGGGGGGGGAAGGAGGGAGGAGGGGAAGGAGGGGGAGGAGGGGGGGAGGAGGAAGGTGGAAAGGGGAGGAAGAAGAAAAAAAGAAGAAAAAAAAGAAGAAAAAGGGAATAAGAAGAAGAATAATAATAATAATTAAAATAATACCTAATAATAATTTAAAATGTAATAATATGTAGAGGGGAATAGGTAATGGTAGTAGGTTGGTAGACAGCAACCCCCAGGGAGGTACTCCCTCCTGCCAAGTGGTGTAAAACGAAAACCCTTAATTGTTTTTCATGATGGTAGGATTGTGGTGTCTTTTGTCTGTCTCATAAATATGCAAGATTACGGGACGTCTGTATTTCTTACTTAGGTCACAACACATACATGTACACGTTTTTTTATAACCCTATCTGGTTTTCTTTGTTTTTTTAATGTTCTTGGTTTATTACTTTTCCTTTTTTCCATGGGGAAATGGAAAAAGAATCTTTCCTCCGTAAGCCTGCGTGTTGTAAAAGTCAACTAAAAAAGCCGGGAACAAAGGGCTGTAACCCCTTTTTTCCCGTAAAATTACTAAAAAGAATGAAGAAGAAAATTGTAAAGTGGGAAATCTGAATGTGCGTGGTGTTGTGCAAATGATAAAAAAGAGATGATTTTGGATGTTTGAAAGGAAGAAAAATGGGTCCTGGCTTTAAATGAAACAAAACTGAAGGGGGTGGAGAGTTTCAAAGGGGGAGGAATAAATGGGATTAGGTCAGGGGTTTCAAATAGGTTTGAGCTAAAGAAGGAGTAGAAAAAAATGTTGAAGGATAAATATGGGAGGGAAAAAAAGGACTACAAATGTATAAATTAAGGATTTTGTGGAGTAAAATAAAGTTGGATGTGAAAAAGTGGGTTTAGTAAGCGTGTATCACCTGGAGAAGAGAGAAGTGTAGAGGAGAGAGAGGATTTGGGGAAAAGTTGAGTGAAATGCGTGGGGAGTTTGAATCGTGTGAGAGTAATGGGGTTTGGGGATTTAAATGAAAAGTGGGTAAAAATTTTATGGGGGGGAGTAGTAGGTAAATTTGGGGTGCCAGGGGTAAATGTAAAAGGGACCCTTTTAATTGAGCTTGTTTTGAAAGAAATTTGGTAATAAGTAATACAATTTTATGAAAAAGAGGAAAAAAAATACAAGGATGTGTAGCAGTAATGAAGTAGTTTGTTTGATTTGTATTGGGGAAAAAAGGTTGTGGGTGGCCCCAGGATGTAATTTTTATGGGGGAAAACTGATATATCGGTCATTTTTTAGTTGTAGCTAC